CTGAATTATCACATCGTTTTCGGTGAAACTGATCCTTCATGGCAAGAAAAAACTCGTTGGTACTTCACTACGCAGTGTATGAGTAGCCGTAGAATAATGAACCCTTCTTACAAAACAGTAGAACAATAAACACTTTTTATGAAATGGTACAGTAATCAACTCATCTGAATGTATCATGTAATAATCTATCCTTGGTCGTAGATCAGTTAATCCTAGTAACGAGTGTGGGAAATCATCTACGATAAAAAGTCGAATACTAAACCGATCTCACAGTGAAGTAGAAGAAAGCGTTCTCGCTCGTAGAATAAAAAACCTTTATTTCTAGAATATCAAAAGATGGGTACTTGAGAGTTGATCTTGTTCCCTTCCATTTCTATTCTATCCTTACCGTCATAAACCAATTGTGTCAAAAACGGTTTCTGGGTTTATGCGTGTATGATAAACCTTTCGAGGGTTGATAGAAGCGTTTCGAAAAATCTAGCGTAGATCAATGCACGTATTTTTTTTACAGTGTTCTGGAGTTGTGTTTTGAACAACAGCAGGTCAAGCGTGGCGGAATGAGACAGTGAAGGAATACGGGGAAGGCCGAAGGCCGACCAAAGGGCGCATTGAAATGATGGAAGGGAGGCAGGGATGCACAGATGAACAGTCAAAATACTCAAGAATGGTCGCAAATGCTCAGAACGGAGCGCTCGATCAAGTCAGTAAGCAAGGAAACAATGATGTCTCTGTTTAACTCGTCCACTCTTCGAAGAGATTGCCATTTAGTAGAGTGATTCTTCAATCTAGAGCAACGAATCAACAACGCTCAGAGTCAACGTTCGACTGCAGAGGAAAAGCGAGAAACAGACAGATTCAGTTCACTAACATTCACTGGCAACCGCACCAGAACAACCGCAGTTAACCTTCGCAGAGAGGAACAGAAACATAGAGAGATTTCAAAGATCGTTGATGAGAAATCAAATAAAAGCGACAAGAACAGGACAGTTTTACAACAACGGATCAATATTCCATGGCACCATACCCTTCCACGCATCAGGATTTGACTTTTTGGTGTCACCAATTTATGATTGACTGTCGTCTCTGAGTGTTTCTCTTCTCATCTGGATACAATGTTTTGCTTCAGTTGACACTCTCTTTGATCACGACAAAAGACTTCTTGCAAATAGGCGAGTGCAATCAAGATCTCGTGGCACCCGCATCATGCGATATACCTATTGAGATAGTGAGTGTCAGAGTGAGAGAGGACCAGCATAGAGACACAATGTATTCTGGTCTTGTGTCTTGGACAGAACGGAGAGAGATATGGTAGGCGTAGTGAGGTGGTGTGAGAGAACGCAGCCAGTCGGGGGAGGCCGAAGGCCGACCACAGGGCGCATAGAAATAATGGAAGATAGACACAGATTCACAGATGAACAGACAAAATACCCAAGAATCGTCGCAAATGCTAAGAACTAAGCTTTCGATCAGGTCAGTTAGCAAGGGAAGAATGATAATTCTGTTAAACTCGATCACTCTCCAGACAGATTGCCATTTTGTGGACGCATTCTTCAATATTGATAGACGAATCAACATTGACCAGAGTAAAAGTACGAATGCAGAGGGAAAGCGAGAAACAGAGACAGATGCAATTAACTTGCGGTCACGTATACCCGCACAGTACCTTTCAGTCATCAGGATACTTTCTCAAATTCATGTTTCACTATCATCCGTGAGCGTTTCTCTTGTTATCTGGATGGAAATTTCGATTGGCTGGAGACTTTTTTGATCAAGGTACAAGACTTCTTCACGGTCGGAGAGTGCAACCAAGATTTCATGGCACCCGCAACATGCTTTACACCCCTGTGAGCTGTGGGACTGGCCACTCCTTTCGTGGCACCAGCATTGAGAGAGAACAGCTTCTGGAATTGTTTTTTGGACAGCAGATAGAGTGGAATACAGCAGGCACATTGAGGCAGAATGAGAGAATGAATGAGAAAGAGTGAGAGACAAAGTGGAAGAATTGAGCAATTTTCGAGGGAGGCCGAAGGCCAACCAAAGAGCGCAGTGGAACTGTTAAAGAGAGACAGAGATGCACAGATGATCAGACAAAATATCCAAGAGTCGGAGCAAATGATAACAATTAAGGGACAAATCATTTCATCTGGCAGGTAACGAACGATTCTTCTGTCCAACTCGACAACTCTTCAAGGACATGGTCATTTTGTGGAGGAATTCTGCAATATTGAACCACGAGTCAGCAACGACCAGAGTGAAGCTTGGAGTACAGTAGAAAAGCAAGAGATTGTACGAAATGAAAGAGAATAATTAGGGACTGGTCAAGGACACGATGGTTGGTGTTATAGTGTGACGTAGTCTGACTGTATGCTGCGTCCTCTCCTTAGTGGTTTCCTACATCGTACCGAGTGGATACCTGCGATCTCCATCGGCTGTTCATTTTCCCTCCTTTCTCTCTCTCTCGATCACAGATATCTGATCAATGTGCGAAATGGATTCGTTCTTGTTTCGACCGAACTATCGCCCGGTAGCACCGACTGTTCGTGAAGTCAAAAATACATTATTCGGACTTTTTTCGTTCTACCGAAGGATCGGGTAGAAACGTGGTATTTGCAGTTTTGTAGAGCACATCGAATTCTATCGATCACGGTCTGAACGGATCCTGTGCATCAATGCCTATGACGGAGAATATCATGAAATTCGATGAAAATATAATAAAAATAGTGTCAGCGGTCACTGTTCGCCCTTGGATATCTTCGACACGCGCACGTTTTGGAACAGAGATGGACCCATCAATCTATGCAGAATTGAATGGGCTTCAATCTGATGCTAGAGTTTGGGTGGAAGCTTCTTCCTTATCGGAAATGTTGTTCAAAGACTGGAGAACGGACGAAGTCGAAAACGACGATCAGCGCGTGTGTTTTGGCCCTTTCGATCCTATTTCGACATTAAATTACAATCTCATATGTCCAGTTTTGTAGAGCAGATCATGCTTCATCGAATGGTGTATACGTAGTTTAATGTGTCCAGTGCTAGAGCTTGGAGAGAAAACACGAAGTATATTTTTGAAAATTTTCGTGTCTTCTTTTGAGGACATTTCAGATCATTTGATATTTGCCACTCAGCAGTAGATCTTCAGACTCAGATACTCCGGATCAGTATACACTATGGGTGGGGCTAACTTTCTATAAGGCCGAATCCAAAATCCGTCGACATGCATTTTTGTTCTATAGTCAGTGTTCTTGCTGAACGTCTCTTAAGCTAAAGCTAACGGATGATACCGCTGCAAAAGGTCGAAACTAGTCGTGGCTAATATCTTTTCATGATGCATACCCTTAGCCTCACTTTACACTAGCGATTGTGCTACAGTATACTCATTTTGTTTTACAGGCATCCCACTTTACTTTATTCACTTACGTTCGGTAATATAAGACGGCAAAAAAGCAAACACATCTTCTCTCCAATAGAAAAATACCAAAGTAACAGAACAGAAAAAGTAAATGCTACGCATGTGATGAGTTTCTCTTTTCTTTTTCTAAACTTTTTTCTCAGTTAACATTGTTTTACATCGTTACAGTTGAGTGTTTTCACCAATATCGATAGGCAGTTTCTTACAGAGCATTAGAAAGATATTCGAAGACCGAAAAATAAGACTTTCTCTTCACTTTTTCCACATTTTCAAATTAGCTCTAATCATAATCATGTATCATCCACGATACTCTTGACTTCTGCACTCACAGCAAGGAAGATGAATACAACAATGCGAAAACTGTTGTAAAAAATGCGTTACTTTATTTATTGCGAAAGACAGACTGTCGGCGAAGTGATAGGCATTTATTAAATTTCCGGAAGAATAATCACATCCCTGTAGATAATTTCTTAGCAGTTTACGAATTCTTAGTTTTTAGTTCTTACATACTACCACATGTAGTTATCCATACATAACGTAGGTGGTTCTCTGGTTGATTTTCCCCTTAGTTACAGTCCATTTTATAGATGTTATCTGTGAACTAGCTGGTCTACAGATTTGATCTATGGTTATGGCCTATTCTGCGAATAGCTTTTTAATGGACTGAAGGTTTCACTTCAGAAGCCGTCATGGCTGAGTAATCTAAAAACCACCACATTTTTTACGAAAAAGTCACGACTTTTGAAAAGTATTTGACTAATAATTATTTTCGACTTTCTGAGGATAGTCTCTGTGTTTTCCATCTTTATCAACGTAAAGGTACCGTTTTATGGCATTTTCATGTAACATTCGATAGTACCTATCTTTTCAACAGCCGTTACTACTGTAGAGATATGAGCTGGAAGGCTAAAACTTTGATCTTCTAGGTTTTTGAGCATGCTGAACAACTCTAGTTCATTTTCTCTGTTGGATTCTTCGTGGTTATTAACCATAATGTACATAGCCTGAGAAACTCATCGACTCACAGAAAATCGTATCCTAGTCAAAAGATTGATCTGTCTATTAACTAGTCTTCCAACCCGCTCTTGAGCGCAAACTTGCTCAGGCATTGTTTTTACAACCCAAAAAAGGATGTATGGTTAAGGTCAAGCCATTCATCGAGCGAGCGTCTGTATTCGCACTTCGAAATTAATTACACTTTTCTGCTCTACCGGCAGGAATCCTCTTTTGCGACCTCCTAGTAGAATAGAAGAGCATTATCTCACAATGGTCCTCACGTCAGAGTGAAGTCGTACTTGATGAATGCTCGATAGGTTATGGCGAAGACACACCATCATGAGCGCGAGTTGTGTAGCCTTAGTACTGCGCTCGAACTTCGGTGCCATCAGATATAGAATGATCGTGGGCGAGTCACCAACGACTATTTGTCTCCGATTACCCGTCCGGAGCAACCACCCTCTGCCTAAATGCTGAACACTGCGCAACCAGTTTCATCCTCGGAATCAGTTCTGTCCGTTCGTGGGAACTCGACTTTCATGCAATACAAGCCGCGCAATCGATATTGATAGATTTCCATCAATTTCCGGAATTGAAATGAATTCCGCGAATTTGGGAATCGGATATATTCCGGCCGTCCATTAGTGTAATGACTAATATGTGGCTAGCCGTTGTACACCGACAGCTCGATGAGAGGAAGAGCTATGAGTTAGACCAGCCTTCCGTCAAAAACTTGAGCTACGCGGAACGATGTTTTAACTATTCGTATTTTTACCGTAACTTTGTCGTATACGGTCGTTTGATAAAGAATACGGTAAGGAAAAGGACTGTATTTCGCAGTAATACTGGTCATCGTAATTCGGTACCGTGAGCGGGCGTGGTCTTGTACTACATCCGTTCGTATGTACACCGTATTATTATGAAATATGTTCTTCAAACACTGGTCTGGTTTATGTACCGCATTTCTACCGTAAACGCTCCGTGTTTGTCCGTTTATGAGCGTATACATGCCTTGCTCTTTCACCTGGGCAGTGATAGTTGTAGGTAAAACAGCGGGCTTATGAAATTGTCTTCATACAACGTCCGACACCGCAAGGGACGGGTCGCATAAGACCACGAATCGGCCCATTGGACTTTTTTGGTAGAAATACCCTATATTTGTATGCGGGATGATGACTCTCGATTGGAAGGATAGTTTTATGCTAAATCCAGTTTAATGGGGTACTTTGCCGGGATGTACATGGTCCCTTTTCGAGCCACACTATAGCCCTAACAGACCGACAATGTATGGAACCAAAATTTAATGAACGCTAGAAGTCAGCTATTACAACTGAAGCGTCATCGGAAAGCCCTTAAAAATGCTACGATACCGGTTATTTCCAAGGTTCCGACAGCCTGCCGTTTCGGTGAAATCGGCGTCATTTTGTCAAGACAGTCACCAAATGTACGGTACCTTCAGTCTTGGCGCTGTCCGGAGACCGTTGTAACTTGCTTGCTTCATCGTCAATTAAATATCATCGGATAGCCTTTGAAAAATGCTACAAAACCAGATCAATACCAGGGTTCCCGAGCGTGGGCCACTCGAGATATTCTTAGGCATGTACCAAAACCAAAACTTAGTGTTGAGTATTGGTTTTGAGTCTTGGTTTTGAACCACTATTGCCGGTATTGCTAGATTTGGTATTGACAGTATTGGTATTGATCGATGTCAATGTATTGAGAGGTATTGGTATTGATTGTATTGGTATTGACAGTGTTGGTGGTACTGGTGGTCTTGGTATTGATAGTATTGCCGATGCTGACGGTATTGGCATTGGTAGTGTCGATATTGGTATTGAAGTATTGATATGGTGAGAGATATTACTACTTCGTTCAATTTACTGTACTCTTGTTTTCGCTTAATTAATTATTCCATAGCGAGACACAATAAAATACTTGAGAAAAGGGCAACTCTACTGAAATGAGGAGCCTAGATGAAAACTTCTTTTCCATTTCGTTGAAACGATGACTCAATGGTTCAGTGCTTCTCATCACCCATGTTCATTATCTACTACAAAAGAATTCTGGTGACAGGTATAACGTAAATTCTAATCGATGAGCTTCAGAAACACGTTACGCCAAACAAAGAGACAACGCTCTATCGAAAAAAATCACTCCCGAGTAGAATTTCATCGTCCGATTACCACAAGTTACCAGGTTTGTCATTTTCTATGCCCTGAATCCCGATATTCAGTTAATTAAAACAGCTAGACAGGAGGTCTGTTAAAGAAAATAAAGTGCTGTCTAATTAAATGCGAAACAATATGAGTTCATGGGCATGAATATGCTAGCTCAAGTCGGAATGGAATCTTTCTCTGTGGAGCCAATGGCAACCTGATATTTCAAAAACGATATCATTCGTGCTCCATAGTTTACCACATAGAATGATGGAGGGAGCATTCCGTGAATAGATCCATCTATCGCGAACGAGAATACCCGAACAGAAAAGAGCTTTATTCCGCTTGTTTTGAATACAACCCGAATTATTTCAACGATCGTTCTCAATCAGAGAAAGCAATGCCTCCCAAACGAATGACGAATGCTGCTGGACACACAAGAAGTTTCGATAGAAGTGATGGTAATATCACCTCATCTCAGACAACGCAGCCAACGTCTCGACTGCTGTCGACTTCGATTGAACAAACATCGAACCAAAGCATCGACGATTCAACGCAGCAAGCTTCTTCATATCGTTCAGAAGATGAGGAAAATTCGATTCCTAACGAGCCACGGCAAACGAGCAATGGTCATTCCGGTGTGTGGGAGTACATGAAGAAAGATGCGGAAGATAAAGCACGATGCAATCTCTGTGCGGCAATTTTGAGCCGAAAAAACTGTGGAACGACGGGTCTACGAAAACATCTTCTTCAAGTGCATCAGCTTCAGCAGTTCGCGGTTTGCTCCACACGGAAACGACCAATGGCGAAGAGAGTTTCCGTCGAAAGAAAGAAACAACTTGACTCACTGGTTATTCGTTGCATCATCGAAGACGGTAGAAGCTTTGGTGATATGAGACGACCGGGTCTCTTGAAAGTATTCAACAACTTAATACCAGGCAAGAGTGGTTGCGTGCCGGCATTCCTATGTCTCTTCTTGTTTCTTCGTAGGGTATTCGCCTCCGCATCGGCATACAGTTCAGCGACGGTTAAGTCACTTGGACGCTGCACACAAGCGCTTGCTCAAGAAGAGATTGTCGACCGTTCGATGGCTCGGTGTGACCTGTGATTTCTGGTCCGACAAACGTTTGTTCTCTTACGTGTGTCTCACCGGTCATTATCTCACATCTAACTTTGACTGTGTCTCGACGATTATCGGGTTTTCGTGTTTTCCCCTGCGTCACTATGCAGAGAACATCTCGAAAGCGATTCAAGATAACTTGAACGAATTGAATGTGTACGAGAAAACCATCACAATTACTTCGGACGGTGCGTCAAATATGGTGAAGATGTTTGAAACCTTGCGCCCAGAGACGAGAAGAATTCACTGTATGCGTAATCGAGAAGAACTTCTTATCACGACTGTATATGCTCGTTTCATAGGTATCGCACATCGACTACATCTAATTGTTTGCAATAGTCTCGGTCTTTGGTTGAAAAAACCGAAGCTCTCGTCGTCCTCATCTCGGTTGACCACATCGATATCTGAATCAGATTCAGATTCAGATCGCTCCGAAGAATACGATCTCGGCGATGATGATCGTTCAAGTGCTTCTTCTCGATCAAACCAGTACTCAGCAAGACATCGCGATGCTTCTGCTCGGTCCCCCGAGATTGACGATGAGACTATGGCTGTTGATCATGCCGATGATGATCAGTCTACAACAGGCGAGAATACCAGTGACAATGAGTTGGAGGATTCCAACGACGATCTTGTCGACAATTGGTCCCGAGATGTATTGGTCGACTTTGATCCGTCAACGTGCGGAGAAGAACAAGCATCGATCGGCGTCATGATGAAGAAATGTCGCTCATTCGTGAAGATGTTGAATAAATCCTCCATCCTGAAGTCGTACGTGAATGAACTTCGCGCCGAATTCGATGTCAAACGTACTCTTCAACTCGACTGCAAGAGTCGATGGAATTCTTCGCATCGACTACTCACTACCATGCTTCTTTATCGCAAGTTGATAAACAAGCTTCACAGTGAAAAGCACGAAATCAAGCTGAACCACAAGCAGACGAAGAAGCTTTCATCCATTGAGCTGGACAAAGGCGATTGGACGTTGATTGAATCAATCGAGCGCGTTCTGCAACCGATCGCACAAGCAACGGAATTGATCAGCGGCAGAAAATACTGTACCATCGGAGTTAGCTTCTTCTCTCTTGTTCAGA